ATTATATTTGATCCTACATTAACATCGAAAGGACCCATTCTGCCAGTCACTGCAGAGACCCAGCTGAGTTCGGAGACTCACTGTGCCAGATGCTACACAGACCCAAGCTGAGAGTGGAGCCCTGTTGTGCCTGGCACTGCACAGAGCCCAGCTCAGACTGGGGAACCCTTGTGCGGATACTGCATGGACCCCAGCTCCAATCAGGGCCCCATTGCACTGGGCACTGCACAGATCCCAACTGAGACTGTGCTGGGTGCTCTGTGGATCCGAACTGTGATTGGGGCCCAGCTGTGCTGGGTGCTGCACAGGGACAAAGCTAGAGACCAGGATGATCCTCCCTCATTTTACAGATGATGGACACTGAGGCTCAGAGAGATTAAGGCTGTGATGCCCTGCAGATCACATTTCCCATTAAACGTAGTGTCGGAGAACAACAGAGTTTTTACTCTTTTGGCTGGGTGCAGCAAAGTCAGATACTTTATTATCTCAAGCAATTGCGTAGAGGGAGAGAGTGCACTAGGACACAGGGTCTCTCCCTCCTAGGCAGGTCTCTCTACAGGTAAACAATTTCAGCAAGCATTTATACCTTTTGTTACAAACAATGAGCAACAGCTGCATTTTGTTTATACATAGGTCATTTTGATATTTTATTTTATTAATTTATTGAGACTTTAGTCTACATTTTATATTATTTACACAAGGTCACAACAACTTTTTACACAGTTTTTTTTACTTGCCTTACACAATTCTCGCTTCTACAAATCTTGCATTATTAGGGTTACAGTTAGCCTGAATCTTGCCAACAAAAAAACCTGTTTGCATTAAAATCCCCTCCCAATCCCTGTTAGGCCTTGCTCTACTTCCACAGCAGGTAGCTTTGGACTTGTAATTAACAAATTAAAATGAATTGTAAGGATTGCTATGGGAACTGGCTGTCTAAATGCCATTAACGGCTCTGAAAATCTCAGCCCCAGTCTGGGGCATTAACCACAAGCCAGTCTTCCTCCTGGAGCCCAGCTTCGTTTTCTCTCTCCCTTACAGTGGGACCTGGTGTGTGACTCCCGGCAGCTGAAGCAGGCGGCTCAGTCCATCTACATGGTTGGGATCCTGGCGGGAGGCATCATCTTTGGAAGTCTGTCAGACAGGTGAGAGCAACGTCAGTATGAAGCTGAACCAAGGCTGATTCCTGGGGGAATCAGGAATCTCGAGCAGGAGGAGAGAAGTTATGGTATCTTTGTATTTGGCACTGGTGGGACTGCTAATGGAATCCAGTGTTCAGTTCCGGTGTCCACAATCCCAGAAGGATGTTGGTAGGTTGGAGAGGGGTCAGAGAAGACCCACGAGAATGATTAAAGGCTTGGAAAACGTGCCTTACAGTGAGAGACTCCAGCAGGGCTGCCCAGAGCGGCAATTTGCCCCAGGCCCCGGGCCCCACAGGGGCCCCCACGAGAATATAGTATTCTATGGTATTGCAACTTTTTTTTATGGAAGGGGCCCCCGAAATTGCTTTGCCCCAGGCCCCCTGAATCCTCTGGGCAGCCCTTGACTCTAGGAGCTCAATCTATAAAGCAAAGGTTAAGGGGTGACTTGATCACAGTCTGTAAGTGGAGCCTCTTGAATTCTTTTAATAATTGTTTATTTTATTTTGGGGGGAATTTCTTGTTATTTTTGTTTTGTTAATGTTATCCATGTAGGGGATCGGGTCTTGCCCTGGGGGTTGGGAGGCCCTGGAGGGGGGCTGAGTCCTGCCACCAGGGGTTGGGAGGCTCTGGGGGGGCGGGTGAGCGTTGCACCCCCGAGCCGGCCCTGCACTCACCCCGCAGAAGCGGCTCCTGGGGTCCTGTGCGGTGCGGCTGAGCCTGGCTCTCGACTCAGGGTGTTGTGGCCTGGCACACGGGGTCCCAGTGCTGCTCAGGTTTGCCCGGGTGCCCCCCCCCGTTCAGAGTGGGGAGCTAGGTCAAGTTTCACAGGACAGGAGCTGCCACTGTAGGGTGAGTTTTTAGCTTTATTTCATATTATTTCACATTTGCAAAAAACATGGGGCTCTCTATATAGGGTAGGGTTACTATTCGTCCGGATTCCCCCGGACATGTCCGGCTTTTTGAGCTAAAAATAGCGTCCGGGGGGAATTTGTAAATGTCCGGACTTCCCCCCCCATGCAGAGCGCGCGCGGCTAACAGGGCAGCTGGCCGGATGGTGTCACTTACATGGGGCTCCGACAGCCAGAGAGAGCACGTCCTCCACCTCCCCTGCAGCAGAGCTCACTCCCTCCCTCTCTCCCTCCCTGCATTCGCAGATCGCCTCCGGCAGTTCGCACCGGCAGTCTGGAGCTCCTCCCCCGCTCCTCCTCCCCTGGCAGCCAGCCTGCCGGGACGAACGGCTCACAGAGACGTTAGGTGAAGGTAGGGTGACCAGACAGCACATGTGAAAAATCGGGATGGGGGTGGGGGGTAATAGGAGCCTATATAAGAAAAAGACCCAAAAATCGGGACTGTCCCTATAAAATCGGGACATCTGGTCACCCTAGGTGAAGGCCAACAACAAGGGGGTCAGGGGGTCGGAGAAGGGGCAGGGAGGTTTTGGAGGGGGCAGTCAAGAGACGGGGGGGGGTCCGGGAGTTCGGGGGGGGCTTTCTGGGGAGGGTGTGGATAAGGTTTTGGGCAGTCAGGGTACAGGTAGGGGGTGGGGTTCTGCGGGGGCAGTTAGGAGTGGGGTCCCAGGAGGTGGCAATCAGGGGACAAGGAGCGGGGGGAGGGTTGGGGGCTCTGAGGGGGGCGGAAAGTGGGAGGGGCAGGGGCAGGGGCTAGGGCAGGATGGGGGCGGGGCTAGGGCAGGGCTCCTCCCGTCCTCTTTTTTGCTTGCTGAAATATGGTAACCCTAGAGGTGCGGCCTGGGCTGAATGGCTCCCGCCGGGCCCAGGGCAGTGGCCCTGGTTCCAGCCGAGCGCGCCAGCCTGGTGCCAGCCGAGTACCCCCGGCCTGGCTCGGGCCCCAGCAGCACCGGCCCTGGTTCCGGCTGAGCGCACCGGCCCAGCCCCGGCCG